CTGCATCTCCCGCTTCTCCTGGACTTGTCTCAGGCATCTCCTCCTTCCCCTCCCCCCTCCCGCCGCGCCCCTGAGTAACCTAGGTCGAGTATTGTAAGTACCTCTTCTTCGTTCATTTTGTCAGTAAAAGAAAATACTATCTAATAATTCTATTCCTCCCCACCTCCACTTTTAAATGAGACTCTTGGAATTAAAAACGAATCCACTTGCCTTATTTAAAAATCAGAAAATACGGATAAGCAATATATTAAAATATTCTATCAATGTTAACCTCACCATCAAAAATGTTTTTAATATAAGATTATACTCCGTGATATACATAAGTGTATATAAATATTTGCAAATATATGGTATACTTCTGAACATGATTAAGAATAAAATCCTAAACATCCAGTTTCCCCCTCCACTTTTATTTTCATTTAGGAATTCAAAGACGTCTATTACAATTCTTACACAAATTGACAAGTGAAAAAAATTAGTTTGGTGTAATTTTTTTTTTTAACGGAGGGAGGGAGCAATTTCACTGTGTAGCCCAGCCCTCAGGAGAGTTCAGAAATTCGCTATCAGTCCCAGCAAGAAAACTTTCGGTTTAAGGTTTTGTTTTCAGTATTTGTTTTTTTCCACAAGAATTGTTAACAAATGTCCAAGTTCTTGGGAGTCTTAAGGGTGCACACTGCAATCTAAAAGATAAGAATGTTCTGGTAAAACAGCTCTGCTTCACAAACAAGATCCTCCCAGTTTCTTTCTTTAAATATGTGGGGAATTGCAGGCATAAAAGTGAAGTGCAGTCTACTCACCGCCAACTTCAACAGTTACATGCTCAGCATCATTTCATCTTTAGTCCTGTATGCAGCGCTAAAAGGTAAGGGCTCTTTATTTCTTCATATACCCATAGAATTATAATCTCACTGAAAGTATATTGGGGTCATTAAAGGAACAAAACTGATAGAATGAATATGTATGCATGTATGGTTTACTAGAGTGTCTCCAAGGATCCAGTCCAAATATCCCAACACTGGCTGTCTCATGCATGGAAGGCTGAGAACCCTGTAGTTGCTCAGTACAAGAGGCTGGACATCTCAGAAGCTCTCATCTGGCACTGGAGGCCTGGAGGATTTCTGGAAAGCTGCTGGTCTTCAATCTATGTAAGAATCCCAAAGAAATTCAGTTCCAGTACTGGCAAAGGAATGAGGGAACAAGAAAATGAATGAAGTTGCCGGTGAGAGTGAGGGCAAGCAACAAAATCACAGTTTGCTGTTTTCTTGTCCTTTGTCCTTCTTACCTGGGCAGCTACAAGAACATGCCACCAGTCTTCCTGCTTCTAAAAATCTGATTAAGAAAATTCCTCACTGGAGCTCACAGGAGTTTGGGTTTTAGTTGATTTCAGATGCAGTCAAATTAATAACCGAGATTAGCCATCATGTGAAGATGAGTTACTAGGGCTGAGGATGTAGCTCAGTTGGTAGAAAACTTGGCTAGAATACATGAAACTGTGGGTTCTATTCCCAGCATTGCATAAGCCAGACGTGATGGCCCATGCCTGTAACCTCAGCGCTTAGGGGGTCAAAACAGAAGGATCTGAAGTTCAGAAATTCATGGTCATTTTCAGCTGCATAGTTTAGACTATGTGAGGACGTGTCTCAGAAAACAAACCAGGCAAAGAAAAGAAAAAAGAGAAAGAAAGAAGCTTTCTGTAGGTTTTTGGTTTTTCGAGACAGGGTTTCTCTGTGTAGCTTTGGAGCCTATCCTGGCACTCACTCTGGAGACCAGGCTGGCCTTGAACTCACGGAGATCCGACTGCCTCTGCCTCCTGAGTGCTGGGAGTGCTGGGATTAAAGGCATGCGCCACCAAGCTGGGCTCAGCTTTCTGTAGTTTTTATAATCAATTACCACATCAATATTTTGATTCAGGTTGTCTCTGGTTCCAATTAAGAGCTACCCTTTTCAAACTATTAATGGCTTTTAATTGGTGTGCAATCTTTACATTCCTTCCCCATTTTGCTCCCTCATCAATATTCATCAATATTTTTGTTGAAGGAGTTCATCTATTTTTAGCATTCTTGCATCAAGTTTTTCTCCTGACACAAACATGTTCTACTCCAGAGACTGCCAGTGTTGGGTCCAGTCCTCACTGCACTCCATTGTCAGCAGTAGTTGGCATATATGATCATTTGGATTACCCAGGACTCAGTTGTGAAGCCACTTCTCAGTCATGTGATGGCACATAGGTAATGCCCTGAAGACTCTAGAACCCCCTCACTTCTACGCTTCAGACCCTAGCAGGCAGCTTTACCCAGTTGTATTGCATGTTTGCAAAGTTCCTCTTTTTTCCCCTCCAGTACACACCTGTGACCACCAAACCAACCTCTTGCATTAGTTTTTTTTTAAAGTGTTTCACATATGAGAAATTGTTACCACTCTTGTGACTCTGCTGTCATTCTTGCTTACCTTGATTTCTGCAATAGCCTCCCAAATGTTTTCTTTGCCTCGGACTTCTGTTCTCCCTTCTTCTGCTTTTCATGCTGTTCTGAAGTAGAAGATTGAACTCCGTTCAACATTCTCCAAGGCAGTTTCTATCACATATACAATGAAGTCTAACGTCCCACCATGGATTATAAAAAACTCTACAAAATTATGGTTCCCCCAAATATTTTTAAATGTACTAAACATCCTTCATAGAGTTTGTCATCAACTGAAATCATCTTTATGTAGCATTTTTATTGTCTTCTCCATCAGAATACAAGTTTATGAGTAAAGAAACTTTTCCTGTTTCAGTCACCATTGTATTGTCAGCACCTAGACCAATGTCTGAGATGAGCAAGCACTCAAGAAATATTTATTGAAAAAGTAACAAAATGACTATTAACTGTCTCCCGCAACTTCAGAGGATATATTGCATGATCACTAGTGAGTACCTGAAAGCAGATAGTTCCTAACTGTGTACATACTATACAACTTATTACACTCACCTATAATAAAGTTTAATTTATAAATAAGTACAGTAAAATGAACCACAATAGCTAGTGATGGAATAGAATAATTATAACAACATGTGCAATGAGTATGATCTCTAAGTATCATATCACTAATTCACTTATGGGAAATACTTTGACCTCCACTGACCTGTGAATAGCAAGATTGACTCCTCTTGCATGGTGGGGTCATTATTAAGTAAAAGAAAGATTACTTAAGCACAAATACAGCAATAATGGAACAGAAAATCTGATAGTTAATGATGTCTACTAAGAGACTGGGGGGATATATTATTTTTTCTATACTGTGGCAGGCCGGGACTGAACACTCTACCATTCTGTTCAAACTGATGCACACTTAAAACATAAGTTTATGTCGGGAATTTTTCCCTTAGCATCTTTATGTCATATTTGTCCATAGGCAATTGAAAGGCAAACCTTAGATAAATGAGGACTACTATATATATATGGTCATCAGTTTCAAATGAAGCTATGGTGACTTTAATAGACCTTGGTCTGCATAGCCATAGCTCTGCTGTATGACATTACTCCCAGTTTTTGCTATCACGATCACTGGATTGTGAGCATCTTAGTTCACACTTGTTTTTGCACTCATTTTTTCCACTGAGATAAATTTCTATAAGTGGCTCAAAGTTCAAATGTCTTACAGCTAGTGACATAATCAAGGTAGACTATCAGCCTCTTGATTCTTATTTTGGTGCTTTCCAGTAAAATACAAATGAATAGTAGCTATGAAATCCATGTCGTGATAGGAGCCGGTCTCAACATGGGTGTAATTAAAGATTTATTTTTATCTATTGTTGGCTGTATTTGCAAGATCTGGATGGGAAATTTGCACCTTGAGTTTAACAAGGAATACATTTATTCAACACATTTTTATGATGTATCCATTATGCTGGACACTGTTCTCAAAGGTTAAAGACACATGTCCAACCTTCTAATGGAGAGACATAGACAACAGGATGCAAACATAGAAATCTCAAACAGTGATAATGGCTGTGGGGACAAAGTAATGCAGACTAATGCAATCATGGTGTGAGCTAAGGCCAGATGCTTTGCAGAGGGTTCTTAGGGGAGTGACCGATGGTGACCTTGGAAATCAGCTATGAATAATGGAGAGAGGTGAATGTTGCAGAGGTAATGGAAACAACAGTTGGAACAATGCCAAGGCCTCCATGATGGTCTTGAGTTGGAGTTTGAAAGGAATCTAGTGCACCTCTTGTAGCATGCACATTCCTCCTTGTGTCATTCCCCTGAGCCCCCCAACACAGAAGAGAGTGAACCTAATGTTACAAACCTTCGAGTTGTAATTGCTGTGCATCTTCAGTCTGCCCTTGTTAACTGTGTTTTTGCTTTGCCATCCCAATAGATGAGCAGTGGTTTAATCTGCCCTCATTTGGTATTAGGAATTTGTCATATGCATCTTTTCTCCAATGAACTGCTTGCATTTTTTATCCTTTTAAAAAATTGGCTTGTCTTCTTTGTTGAGTTGTGTGAATATTCTCTCTCTCTCTCTCTCTCTCTCTCTCTCTCTCTCTCTCTAGATATAATAAGTTATTTACTTGGTATATGTCTCATAGTTTTTAGAACTTATGGCTGATCTTATAACTTTCCAAATAGTATCTTTTAAACAGCAAGAATTCTTAGCTTTAGCAAAGTCCTATCAATTCTTATTTTTAAGATTTACTTATTCTATTATTTATATGTATGAGTGTTTTGCCTACATATATGTATGCACAACACATGCATGCCTGGTGCCCACAGAGGCCAGAAGAGGGTTTTAGACCCCCCCCTGGGACTAGAGATACAGCCAAGCCTATTATTTTCCTTCATGGTTCATACTTCACACATCCCATTCAAGAATCTTTGCTTAGCCAAACATTTTAGGGGATTTTTTTAAATGATTTTCAGTGTTACATTGAGGTTTCTATCATTGGGCAGATTTATTCTCATATATAGTTTAGGTGAGACTTCTTTACACATAGAAATCTAACTTTTCCAACACTATGCTGGTATTATACTACCATTGATAGAAAGTCAGTTTCACAAATAATAATCTGTGGGTTGTCAGTTTGTATTTCCAGCCTGTTAATTGTTATCAGTAGAATTAGAAGCTAGCAAATGAAAATAGTTGGTTCCAGTATCTTCCTATTCATATCATGTAATATATAGTACTTATGGTAATATATAGTGTGTATATGTGTGTGTGTTTGTATATATACATACATATATACATTCATATGTATATCCTAAAGGAAGCACTTCCAGGGAAATCATTGCTAATGAATTTTCCTCTGAAATCTACCATATAGCTTCAATCCCTAATAACCATCTGAGATTGTTCTTGTTGCCGTTGCTTTATTGGTGTGAACAAACTTACCACTAACAACATCAACAGTCCAGGCCTGGTACAGCCATTGGTGGGAGGGGAAGTTTGCTTTTCTCCTTACATTTTTCTTACCAGCAGGGGACAGCAGTAACTGGATCAGCTAAATTCAGGCTGTGGGGCTTCTGTGCTAATTTCCCCAATGTCTCCCACTTTTCTATCTGTTACACACAGCACTGCCAGGCTGCTGTGTGCTTGGTGTTGATGTGCTATTTCTCACCTTCTGTTTGGATAACTAAGCTTTCTGGGTCTCTCCACTCTGTCCAACAATAAACTTCAGTGAATCTCCTGTGTCACCCATGTCACAGAGAAGTTATTTTCTGGCTTTCTAATTCCACATGCAGGGAACCTGGAAAAACACCGGAAGTGCTTCTATGCCACTATCATGACTCCCTGTGTTGTGTTCCCATCTCAGTGCCCTTGTTTTTATTAAGTTGTAACTGTGCAGCTGTTTCATTCCTACAGCTGTGGGTAAGTTGCTGGCCTACCTGGGCATTAGCGCAGACAAGCTGTGATGTAGCTACACAGCACTTATAGCCAGTATAGAATATTGTTCTGTTGAGGGATGGATAGAAGTGAAAGTAAGAAGAAAACAGTTTCATGTGTCCTGGATAGCAGGTGTGTACAAAGACAAGCTACCTGGCCTCAATATCACTTTGTATCAGGGCCCATTTTGCCTCAGTTTAAGGGGAGGGGAAATGGGGATATAACTTTGGTAGTGTTGATCATCATTCTTGAGGTTCTTGGTTTAATCTCCAGCAGAACC